AGCTACAATAAAGTGTCTATTAGATGAAAGGGAAATAATCCAACGGCATTTTAGTAACGAGCTTTAGCTTAAGACTGCACTACAACATCTTTTGTTTAAAAATCTTCCCCATTTAACAGTTCCATCCATTCTTCCTTTGAAGCTTAGTGAACATTCGCCGAAGTAAATAAAGCTTTCTCTCGAAACAATAACAGCCCAACTCTTAACAAAAATAAAGCGTTCCCATATATCATTTGCGGGGAACTGACATTTTAACAGAACAACCGAGGGCAATGCCAAAGTGTGAGGGGGGATGCAGCAAGTTCTTCATGGTGTTCCCCGTTTGAAAACCAGAGACATTTATTCTCCAGGAAACTATTTCTTACTTGCTCTTTTTCTTCCTGGATTTTAGCCATTTCCGCCATTTCTCTCTATAATCTCCGAGAAATACCATTCGTCTAAGAAAAAGGAAGTTTTTTTTGTTCTCTTTGTTGGTTTCGGTGAGAGAAGTTGGAAAAGAATAGGTAAGAGAAAGAGAAGTTTAGAGTACAATTCCATCCAACTTGGTGAAACCTCCATTCTAGCTAACACCCTTCAAAACCGCAGTTAAAAGCAAAGTCTATGAGTTCACTAGAGAGGTTGATTGGTTGGTCTTTTATCGCTACAGGGGTAGAAGAAGACTTAAAAGTGTGGATCTCGATCTACTTATGGATTTTTTTCAAGTATTTCAAAATCTCTGAAAATTTCTGAAATTCGTTTAAATGTCACTTGCAATTCTCTTAAATGTTCAACAACAAAAATCTTGTAGCATTTTCCTTAAATTAAAATATTTTTTCTTTGAAATGTGTAATAAATGAGGGTAAAAATAAATATTTAATCGTTTAAATGATAGATTATTCTAGAAAGAATACGATACTACTATGTACATTCCGTTGCGCAATTATATACTACTGTAAACCTATCGCCTTCATGTCTGTATTGTATGACAATTCGTACGGAATTTCCATTGTACTATCGCAATCTGCTGGCGTTTATCGAATTCTAAGATGATATAAGCTTTATATTCATTAGTGAATTCCATTGCTTGCGTTAGATTACCACATATTATCATGATTGCTACTTAATAGTTATACCTACAACTAAGCGTTAATTTGTAATACGAGTAGAGACTTGAGGGAAATTCTATTTGTTACGATATGCACCCGTTTGATATATCGTTTATAGTTATTTTAATATAGACAGAAGTATAGGATAGATCGAAATTGGTCGATTTATGAATTATCCTATGTTTAAGAGTTCCTTCATCAAACAAGGCATTAATTAAATTCTGTATGCTTTGGCTGCAAGAAAGCCGTTGTTCCAGTGAGGTACCAAGATATTCTGAATTCGAAAACGAGGATAATTAAAGAATATATGGTTCTCAAATTAGCTTTCGGCACAGCTAATAGAACACGAAAAACGCTCGAAATCAAAACCTATGGTGATAATGCGACAATTCTTATGAACTTGCAAATATATACACATTAAGAATTATGTTACTCATGTTTTTGATTTTTCCATGTACTGTAATGTATTCTTATAATACATCCGGTAATGAATACGCTTTTTAATTTATCTATTTACGCTAATATGACAGTACGATAAGACATGCTTTCTTATAATCTTTATAGAAATCTAATATATGTCTTGCAATATTTTTATATAGTACAGGACCCACCAGCGGCCGAGCGGTAAAGACACTGAACACTGGTAGTTTAGTCCGAGGCTTTCGAATCCCGCGAACGGGCTGGCTGCATGGGCGTTTTCGTGGTTTTCCCCATGTGTAACGTGTATACGAGCCAGTTTCCCTTAGAAAGTGCTCCACGAAGGCATCCCTCACTTTAGGCAGATAGCCCTCGTGGGCTTTGCCATAATTGAATAATCCAATCCTTAGATAGTTCAGGAGGCCAACACGACCTAAACTGAACCGTTAATGAAAATCAACGTTAATGACCTAAACTAAACCCTTACTTTGTCATTAACGGTTCAGTTTTCTTGTACTGTCAATGCTCTCATATCCTGTAATACAGCAAACTTATATCTGCTTTCTTTGCCATTCTGTTGTAATAATACAGTGCAGGAAACGCTGTAGTATATTTTCTCCTCTTTTCAAGAAACCCGAAAGTTTAAATTTTCTTGCACAAGCCTTTTTCTTATATCTGTTTGGGCGTTTACTACATTATGGCTGTTCTTATGTTTGTTTGTTTATTTGACTACTGCAAAGAACTCGAGGGCTCTATGCCAAAAGGGAGGGTCCCTTCGTGGAGAACTTTCTAAGGAAAACTGGCTTGTATACACGTTATACATGGAGAAAACCTCGAAAACGTCCATGCAGATACTCTGTTCGCGAGATTCGAAACTTGAGCCGAACTACCAGTGTTTAAGCAGCACTCGGCCACTGGTGGGCCTTGAGTTTTCTTAATTCGCTTATGACCTAGTTTAAATTGAAGAATAAGTTTGTTAATAAAGTTTGTTGAAGAATAAGTAATCTTTATTTTTAAGTGATCCATAACATAGTTTTACCTTTATTTTCCACAATATACTGGACAGTGAGTCGTAATAGTAAATACAAAATAGAGCTTCACAAAAGTAAAGCTCTTTAAGTTTACGTATAGTACTGCATTATTGGTTGATAGATGTAAGAAAAAATGATATATGAGCATACAAACACATAGTGAGAATTTTGTTTTTATGATATCGGATATAATGCATCAAGTAAGTATGAGGTGAAAAATTCTCCACACTGAAAAATAAGTAAAGAACGGTCCATACATACCATTAGGATGATACGCTTTGTGTTTCGCTCTTTTTCCTAAACACAATCTCCTGGCGATGCATGGTGTCATTTGGCGCAAGATTAATGCGCCAAGTGAGGAGGAAAACATTAATCAAAAAAGAAAAGCATGCCGTTGACATTTTATTCTAGGAAGAAAAAGTAAACAGCGAGTATTTGGGCGAAAAATGTCAGTTTTTATCGATAAATTGTGTTTTTCATCCAAATAGTTTGGCTAATCTAACTTTGTCTGATATAATATACATAATACTCTCTCCAGTTAATGATATTTTTTTAATTTCAATTAGTTTTATAATAAAAATAATCTCAGTACTTTTAAGCAGCACTTTTATTTTCAAATTTTAAAATCAATATCTTATAATCTTAAAATATATTCTTAAAATCAATATCTTATGATCTTAAAATATCAGTCTTAAAATATGTTTTGTTTTCATTCGTTCTTCATCTTTTCTTTTAAGATAAATGTTCTTATATTACAAACAAACAAGCAAGAGTGCTAAATGTGTGCGATTATGCATTTTTATCATGTTTTGAAACAGAAGACACTAAGGTGATGAAGCAAAGGTTTTCTTCTAGATTATTTTATTTCTTTCACAAATTTCTTTTGAGCCATACGCATTTCTGGAAATAATTTAAGTAATTAATAAGTTGCAGGTCGTATTCAGCATATGTTACAATTAAGAAAATTGAATGAATTTCGAAACACAAGCAAATGGCTTGCTTCTTCTGCGTTCAAGTACTGGTTCATTCATTTTAAAAGCAATATGCGTTAAGTATTACTCAGGTAATTAATTGAATTAATTATCAGGAAAAGAAGACAACGCTATGTTTTCATTATTAGATTATAGAAAAGCATTTGCATTTGTCTAAGGAGAGAGATGCTTTCATGGAGAACATTTGAAAGAAAACTGGATTGTATTCTTGTATTCTTACACATGAGGAAAAATCAACACCTACATGCAGCCAACTTGGTCTCTGAGATTTGAACCCGAATCGGATTATTAGCTTTCGCAGTTTATTTTCTGAGGAACTAGATGATTCTTTTTTTCTTTCGAAGCTCATGAAAACTTTTCATATTAAACCTGCTCGAAAGTCTCTCTAACGTTTCCAAAGTCTCTAAAGCTTTTGGAGTTATACTCCAAAGTCTCTAAAGTCAATCTGCTCTAAAGTGTTTTAACTACTAATCCTTCCAGAAACATTTTTTATCCAATATTAATTGGATGAAAAAACGTTTCTGGAAGGATTTTATTTTCTTAATTTTCATTTCAAAAGTAACAAAATTCAGTGAAAACAAATTGAATACATGGACAATATATTAAATATTATAATATTATTATAAATTTAAAATTTTAAAAATCGTCTTCATGTTTATTGACATTTGTAAAAGAAGTCATAACATGATTATTTGTATAACTAAGCATTTACAGTTATTGGCGGTTCAGTACTACTGCAGAAAATTATGAAAATAGAAAAGCCCATCCTCCAGCGTGTAAAATTCATTAACTATGAATGAATGATTTGTGGTGACCTCAAAAATTTACTTTTTAATGATCAAAGTGGTTATCTTCTCATATATGTAAATGGGGTAATAGAGAAGGGTTAACACTGAGAGCAAAAACCCTATTTTCTAAGAAAAACCTCAATTTGGCAAGAAAACGTTTTACTTTAAAACCGTTTTAACAAAGAGAAAGCTCTTTCTTTTACAGCATATCTTATGAAACAATTTATGAAAGCGTTGGAAAAAAGAAAGTGGATGTAAGGGAAATAATTCATAAAGGGTACACAGTTCTTGTTCTTGGGATTTATGCTTCAATTTGACCAGCTGATAACAAAACAGTGTCCATTAATTATTTCCCTAATAATAATATAGTTAAACATTTTAATATAAATTATTAAAAAATATTGTAAATCAAATAAATAACACTTTCATTTTTAAAAGTTCATTTCATTTTTACTTTTTATTAATTAACTTGCTCCCCACTAACGGCCGAGTGGTTAAGACCTCTGATTACTAGAAATTCGACCTGCGTTTGAACCCAGGCGAACGACTGGCTGTGTGATTGGTTTTCCCGATTTTCACCGTGTGTAAAGTGAATGGGGGCTAGTTAATTTTAGAAAGTCCTTTACAAAGTCATTTCTTATTTGGCTGAGAGTCTTTGCGCGAAAGACACCTATATGGAAGGTTGGGTTTCAGGAATATGCTTTCCATGTTCCTGAAACCCAACCTAATCTAATTCATTTATCTAAATTTGCAATTCCTTATGTTTAGTACTAAAATATACTTTAAACGTAATTTTATTTGTATTGAAATAGGGTATTTTGGATTTTGTTCAGCTTTGAAACGGCCCAGGTTTTTATGTTCTTGCTTTTATTCTCCGTCATTTTATCATTACCATCTTCATCATTTTTAGCTTACCAACCCATGAACTATTAAATACCAATCGCCGAGCTTCTAAAACATCATAGAAGATTAGTTTTACTGCTGGCCAGGCTCCAAAAGGTTTCACAACTTTGTTCACACGTGCGTTTGGAAATTTTCCTAGGTGCAACATAAATATCAGCTGGCTTCTCTTAGTAAGTTTCCCACAGAAGAGTTCTTCCCGTTAGACAAATAAGCTTGGAGTGTTTTTGGAATATTTAATTAATCAACCAACTAAATTTTTACTGTTTTCTACTGACGATAGGTACATGCACTGTCTGTGATGTAATTGGAAGAGAAGAAACTTTTCATTAAAGCGAGAAATTTGCAAGAATGGGTGAGTACTGATTACACTTTTAAAGCAACCAGAAAGGAAAATAAGTATCTTTTTTTCTTTTTAAGTATAATTAGGTGTCTAGAAATGTTTCTAAAGACTTTTAATTATTATACAAGTCCAACGGAATTCCAATTATTTGTACTCCGAATACTCGCCACTAAACTTATTTGCTTAGTTTTTTTCCCTCTTCCGGAAATGGTCTTATGCAGGTTAGGACAAATATAGGATATTTACTCCATCTACCGGACCTGAGCAAAAAAGGTATTTTTCTAACCATTGCCTCTCTATTGATGCATGTGAACAATATATATGTTTTCATATAATACTGTATTCTGTTATCTAGCTTGGAGCCCCATATAAATTAAAATATTAGACAAACATTTGTTGGATTAATCATTTTCCTCCGATAACTTTTCCTCATGCCGGCAAGTTTTCTGCCGGTTTTCTTGTTTTTAAGTTGAAGAAACACAGCTTCTTATTAATTTATTTTTATGCTTTTCCTTTTTCTTGGTGATTTAAAATGTATGAAAAGCTCATATAGTGAAACACAGTTTTAAAGTAAAAATTAATTTAAATGCGTTGAAATATGCAAATTCTTAGTATCTTTTGAGAACAATCGTTTTTACATGCAGACACACTGTTTCTCTTTAGTGAGCAAGTCCCTGATTAGACATAACATTTGAGAATTTACATTATATTGCTTATTGCATTATTTTAAATCATTAAAAAGAAAGAAATTTAATTCAAGTGAATATAAATAGATTATAAGAAAAGTTAAATTTGAATGGATTATAGCTAATTGCTTTGATTATAGCTTTTGATTATAGCTTTTTCCACCACACACACACACACACAACACAAGCATGATTTTTTTTTTTGCTGCATCTTAGTAAAATAAAATTAAAACCAGGAATGCCTTTATGTCTTAGGCAAATAATAAATTTTTATTTTAATTCACAAATAATTAAATTGTATGTTTAGACAACAACAAAAATGATTTTATTTAATTTTATCGGAAACATGTATATTTAAATTTTCTTCACAAAAATGCAAAATATTTTATTTCCTTAATTGCATGTATTTATTGAAATAAAATGATTAACGAAACAATAAATTTCTTTCACTTGCGTAACGTAAATATGTACTTGGTTGCCAGTAAGAAAGACAAAAATTATTAAAATTCTGCGAGCATTCAGATTGCCTGAAGTTCCAGTGAGTCTGGTTATTTGAAACTCTATCGTATTTTAGGGCAAGTTTTCAAATGAAAAAAAGCACTAAATATTTTTTTCTCAATTTTGTTACACGTTAATAAATTTCTTTACTCTTTGCTTTAGCAATAGGGTATCAGAATATTCAGAGAGTAAGATTTAAACTACGTCAGGTAATTTAAGTATATATACAACGAATTCTCATTCAAAATGATTCAGCTGCTCTCAAAGGTTCAAAAACATCCCTTTCGAAACCAAACCAAATGTTTATTGCATACGCTGAAACTGCATCAAATGAACTGTTGATATTTTACTGAATGCATTAAAGTGGTCAGAAAACTAATAACTGTCCGTGAATAGGGTTATCCCATGAAATATGCATCGAAGGAATTGCATTCTATGAATGAGTCAATTTGATTGCTCCAGTGGCAGAATCATTTCTGCCATGCATCAGGCAGTGTTGTGACGGCTCGCTGTAAATTTATACGATGACATTTTTCGAAACCTTACCCATGAATCCACACTGTCAACTTTATCGCTTTCCCCAAGGGATACTTCATGCGTTCCTTCCCTGATATATGTTGTCAATGAATTATGGTGAGAAGAGTCTGTAACCATTGACGTCATTCTCGGGGACGACGTGTTTAGATTCGTTCGCAACACGAGAGCCACATATCGTCCTAACGTGTAACTAGGGGGTTTAAATTGCGTAGAGATGAGATTCAAGTGACAATATTTTGGAGCTACAGGACCTCAGAGGTCGTCAATCTTAAAAGACCTATTTTGAGCATTTTTTGATACAGAAATTTGTTATTTTCTGACACAGTGTTTTGTTTATGTCACAGGAACAATGAAATAAGTACACATTTGGTATCGCTAAAGGCTAGAGAATCATGGAAGTATTTTAATCTTGAAATTAAATGAAAACGCTATTTGCGACAGTTTCATTCATTATGATTAAATTTAGTTTGTTTTGGCTCTATTTACGAAAACATTCATGGAATTTAATTTAAAAATTCTCTCAATGCCTGCAAAAAAGAAATAAATCTAAAGTGACGGATAAAATTTATTTATGACGGATATAAATTATTTTGTTTCACAATGACTCAATAAATGAACAATATAAATTTTAATAGTAGGCTTCGAATATAAGGAGTAGATTACCTGAGCATAACAAACGATGAGATGTTTATCTATCTAAGGAGGTGTATAGTTCCTTAGAGGAATTTCTTAGAGAAGCTGGTTTGTACTCACTTTACAAACAGGAAAACCCCGAAACCCAACCATGCAACCAGCCCATTCGTCTAGATTTGAACCCTGGTCGAACTCTATTATTCATCAGTTCTAATCACTCAGCCTCTGGTGAGGTCCATTTAAAAAGGTTACATTGATTTTTATTATAGTTCGTTTTATAGTCTGACCAGTACTGTATAAGTTTAACTAAGAAATTAAAAACGTTAAACCAAGATAATTCAATGAAACGTATTGTAATAAAATTCTATGAATTTCCATTTATAACTGTTTTTGATACGGAATGGTATCCAAAGTCATATAAGAAATCAAATATGAAGAAATATGAAGAAATTAAACCTGCGGTCCATGTTGAACTGATACAAACAAGGGTGTTTCCTTTCTTTAACTGTCAATATTAAATAAATTATACTCCCTTCTTTAAATCAACTGAAACTAGAAAATTAATGGTATTTATACAGTCTGTTATTTTGCCCAAAATGTAATCGTTTTTCATTTCAATGACAAATTAAAGAGTGTACGTGTCAAGTAAAGAGAAGAAGAAAAGGAGTGGTAATTTTCTTCAAACTACTATGCCGTAGAAATAATATTAACGATCCAGTTTTGTTTTAATAGTATCATTTTTAATAACAGATATAACAAGAAATATGAAAATAAATGTATATAAGAATAAACTTGTTCTTTGTTGTTGTTATATTTTATATCTAATGTGTCTGTTTTGGTATGGAAAAGTAATACATGGAAAAATAACCCGAAATTACTACAGGGTTTGAATATATATTTTTATATTCAAGTTTCAATATGCCCAGCATTAACATTGCAAAACCTATGTAAATTGTCTGACCATTTGACAAAAAGTTCAGTTCTTTTCTAGGGAATTTTCAGTTCCTTTATATTTTCTTTGCTTTTAAAGACACTTTAGAATTTTCAATGTGTATTTGAATTACTACAAGTACTATATGAATTACTACAAGACGCTGTCGGCATTAGAAGCTAAAGCAGCATTATATGAAGAACTGGGCCTTTTTTTTAAATGAATTGTTGATACTAAATGATACATTAAACATTTTATAGTAAACGTAGAGTTATGTGAGTTTAAGAAGCTTTGGTAGAACAAAGCATTCACCTGGGAAGTCTTAGAACTTCTTAACCATACAAGACAGGATTTTATTTTCGTAATAAGCACGTTGCTAGATCTTGTGATGATATATTAAACTATGCGATGATATCAATTCGCTAACTTTCCTGTTTGAAACAACCACAATGTTTTGCACGCATGGGAAAAATATTAAGATTATACTTTTCTGTGCTTGAAATTATGAAATGCTTGAGATAGTGATTCACGAAATATGATTAAAAATGTTTAAATCTATCAATAAATAATCTTTCGGTTAAACCGAAAGGACATTTCTTCTGCTTCTCAGTGGTTGCTTATATACCTAAGGATGATGTCGGTACAATAATATATTTTTTGTGCCGAAGTACACTTGATTAAATAATATAAAATCTCCTACCGATTTCGCTGTGAGAAAGAGGTAAAGATTAGAATGAGCTTTCTGTATTTTTCTCATTCAGTATTACTTTCTTTCCCATTTTGATCCTTTTTTTCATTGTATGACAAATAATAATTGAAAAGTGCCTTCGTAGATTTTCCATAGCTTTATTTAAAACTTGGTTTAAAAGCTTCGTTTCAAAATTTGCATTGTCTCTTGATCTCAGTTTCTTTCAATATACAGAACTAAATCATTACACAGCATGAAAACCAAGAATTCTATGATTAGTGAAACATAGTAAGCCATAAATACCCTTCATTATTTAAGAAATGGTCCCATCTGAATTTTCATTGGATACATTACAAATTAATCTGGATTCATAATTGTTAAGATCACTAATATTTTGCCTCATATCAGAAAACTCTGATATGGTATTTACACAATTTGGTCACAATTTCTGATATGTTTAAGTGTTTATAACATATAATTATAACATATAGTTATAAACCTTAACATGAAAAATTACTAAAATAGTTGATGAAATATAACTACAGAATAGCATTTAATTAAAATTATTAACATTGATTAAATATAGATTTTTACAACCTTTTCTATAGTGTGGATCAAAGATATGTGTTCTGTGTGAATTAAAATTATTGCATATTAAACATTTATAACTAAAATAGAATATTATTCATTACTTCGTCATCTGTGTATTGCAATTAAATCTTAGAGTTTCATTATAAATTGGTTTCTAGAATTTTTACAGAAGTTTCTTTTTTATGATACTTATAAGCTTCTTTACAAAAAACACAGAAATAAAAATAGCGAATTTTATCATCATCTTTGCGTCTTGCCTTTCTCCTTTCTTAACAGCAATATCGTGTTCAGCTTCATCTTTAATTCCACCATTAACGATAAATGCACGAAAGATAAATTTGTTTTGCTAGTGCTGTTGATATCATTCATTCTTCATATCATCAAAATCTGAGTTCCCAGATTTCTTATTTCTAATTCTATCATTGTAAATAACAGACCTAAATTTGTC